CCTGGGCAAACAGATCTCATGTATAGCAATCGTGCCGTGGGCTCGGCTACATACCCGGGAGCTTCAGTGGTTTCTTCTCCCATACCAAAGACAGCATACGTCCAACAGACGGGTTCGGGTTCCCCGTCAAGTATGGGTTTCCCTTGGCTGGTGGACTTCATCGGCCGTCAGCAAAGGGACCCTGTTCAAAGAACCCAACCGCCTTCAGGTGACCACGGACGCCAGTCTCTTCGGCTGGGGTGCTCACCTCCAATCCCGGATAGCTCAGAGTCGGTGGTCGCAAGCAGATCTCAAACACAACATAAATTGGTTGGAGCTCAGAGCGATTTATCTAGCTCTTCAAAAATTCCACACAAAAGTCAGGGGCCAGCATGTACTGATTCAAACAGACAATGTGGCTGCAAAGGCCCACGTGAACCGGCAGGGGGCACACGGTCGAAATCCCTCATGACAGAAGCCCGAGCATTGGGCACCTGGGCAGAGAAACACCTGCTCTCCATCAGAGCCGAACACATTTCAGGGGAGGCAAATCGACAGGCAGATTTCCTCAGCAGGTCGACAATAGATCATTCGGAGTGGATGCTTCATCCAGATATCTTCAGGGAGATATCAGCCAAATTCGGCAGTTCGATTATGGACCTGTTTGCCACCCCGGAGAACGCTCAGCTTCCCAGATTCTCGGGGAGCAGAGGGAACGGATGCGCTTCGCAGCAGATGGCCACATGGCCTATTGTATGCCTTCCCCCCCCCATTGCCTCTACTTCCTGCAGCAATCAGGAAGTTCCTGGAGGAACAAGCGGAGGTGATCTTCATCGCCCCTTACTGGCCCAGGAGACCATGGTTCGCGGATCTGGTGAGTCTTTCATTTTCAGCTCCATGGAGGATTCCCGACAGCCAAATAAGGCTGATACAGGGAGATCTACAACATCCAGATCCACAATGGCTTCAACTGACCGCCTGGCACTTGAACGCCGCGCCCTAACCAGGGAATCTTACTCAGCGGAGGTGATTGCTATGATACAGGCGGCCAGGAGACCGGCAACGAACCGGCTTTATGACCATACGTGGAAGCATTTCGGTCAATGGTGTGATAAGAAACACGTAAGTCTATCACAAGTGACAATTCCCAGAGTCCTGGAATATTTAACGGAGGGCGTCAACAAGGGGTTGGCACCCAACACTTTGCGCAGACAGTTAGCAGCCCTGTCCTCAATTTTGTCATGGGACTCCTCGAGCTCCTTATCAAGACATCCAGCCATTCGGGCTTTTCTTAAAGGGGTCTCGAATACCAGACCGCCTGTTATTCACAGGTATCCCTCCTGGAACCTACCCCAAGTGCTTCAAGCTCTAACATCTTCTCCTTTTGAACCACTCAAAATGTGCTCATTACGACATTTGTCATTCAAGGTCTCCTTTCTCATTGCCATTACCTCGGCCAGGCGCATTTCAGAGTTAGCGGCCTTGTCGGTTAGAAAAGACCTATGCACATTCCACAAGGATAGGGTAGTTCTCAGGCTTGACCATTTATTCCAAAGTTTAACACGGTTTTCCATAGGGCACAGGAGGTTATCCTCCCAAATTTTTGCCCTCACCCGTCACATGAATTGGAACAACGCTGGCACACTTTGGACGTAAGGAGGGCCTTGCGATGTTATATCAAGCGCACTAAGCCCTTCCGTAAGTCAGAAACTCTATTTGTGTCCTTTCAGCCTTCGTCTATGGGGCAAAAGGTTTCAGCTTCCACCATAGGGAGGTGGATAAGGGCCTGTATTTCAAGCGCTTATGTTTCCCTGGCCTTACCATTTCCTCCTCATGTGACGGCTCACTCTACCCGCAGTGCTGCTACAACTGCGGCGTGGGCAACACAGGCGTCCATTGAGGACATATGCAGGGCGGCGACATGGTCGTCGCCATCTCCATTCATTAGACATTACCGTTTAGACAAGTTTGCTTTGGCTGAGGCCGCCTTTGGTAGACGTATCCTACAACAAGTAGTCACACCATCTGGGGGCCCGGCCCCTACTGACTCCCACCCTTAGGGACTCGAGAAACTTTGGTACGTCCCATTGGTGGATTCTTCTTAATCATGCTGGAGAAGGAGCGTTGGCTTACCTGAACACCTTTTCTCAGCATGATGAAGAAGAATCCACGCCCTCCCTAAGTAGAAGTCAGTCAGGTCCAGGTGGGATGGTTGTTCTGTTAGTTGTCGTTACTACCTGCTTGAGAGTCATCACGTCGTACTGTTGTCAATGGCTTCACCCGTCGATGAAAACTGGGAGGTCCCCAGATAATGAGGAGGCGTGACAACTTGACAACTTTGTCTGATTGGGCAGTAGGACTAAGATAACCCATTGGTGGATTCTTCTTCATCATGCTGAGAAAAGGCGTTTAGGTAAGCCAACGCTCCTTTCCTGACATTTCCCATTTCTTTTCACCACAACTTTTGTTCCCCTCTCACTGCTGTCCCTGGGTGGGTCAGTGAAGAGAGCTATAAATCCACGGGTCACTTGACTTACTTTAGCTATATATAGACCTGATATGTAATATGTGGGGATTGTACTCCAAAAGATTATCAGATTAGCACAGAAAGATGGACTTTGTGCAATTTAAATCAATGAAATTAATTAAATATATTTAGTATTTTCCAGCCAAGGTTTCAAAGGGTCAGAAGGCTGTACCTAAAGGTCTGGGACTGCTCATGGCATGGGCCATGCCTTAAAAGGGTAGCATATCATTGTGTGGGACAGTTTTAAGATACAAATGGAATTAAGGTTTTGATTACATTTTGGATATTCCCCACTCCAATAGTTTCCTTCCCATTCTGGAGCTCTCTATCAAGAATACATGTCTCAGAAGATTGGAGTCAAAAGCCCAAATGAACCCTACAGCCAGTGATCCTACTAATACAGCCTAACTTTCAATCTTGTGTACATTTAATCTGGCTGTTACAATACTATACAACATCCATTGCTGATACTGGGAATATTTTAGAGACTTTCATATTAGAATAAAAAGTATTTTTGGGAGGAAGAAAAATATTTACTAACATATAACAGAATTTACAGAGTTGGAAGAGACCTTGGAGGTGTTCTAGTGCAACCCCTGGCTCAAGCAAGAAACCCTATACCATTTCAGACAAATGGTTGTCCAATCTCTTATTAAAAACCTCCAGTGTTGGAGCACCTACAACTTCTGGAGGCAAGTTGTTCTATTGATTATTTGTTCTGTCAGAAAATTTCTCCTTAATTCTAGGTTGCTTCTCTTCTTGGTCAGTTTCCATGCATTGCTTCTTGTCCTGCCTTCAGTGTTTTGGAAAAGAGGTTGATCTCTCTTCTTTAAGGCAGCCCCTTAGATATTATTATTTATCTAAAGTTCCTTAAATGAAAATAACTATCCATAATGTACCATTCCCTAGACACATATATTGAACATCCTTTCCCAGCATGAAGTGATCTTGTTACACATGGCAAATAGATGTGTTACAGAGCTCTATTGTCTCAAAGGATTTAGAAGAGAGAAATGTCAGTCCCTTTATAATTTTAGGGACATTTGCTGTTAAACATGTCAAATATATATTTTCTAGTGATTACTATGTGATTGTAATTTTTTCAGCAAAGTAATAGAACAACTTGCAGCAAAGCATTTAGCTTCACAATTATCCAGTGTACACTTAGGGTTCTCCAAAACTGTCTATGTGGGGTTTTGAGCCAGTAGTACTGCTTAACTCAACCTATCCTGAAGATTGTTGTGGGGGGAAATGGAAGAAACAGTGCTTTCCTAGCTCCCATAAGATCTTGTACGAAAATGAGGAATCTTATAAATAAAAGAATAAATAAGATTGTGGTGTTGCTTAGCAAAGAAAAAAGGTGTAACTTGGTAAGGAAAAATTATTTTAAAATCTCTGGAACGAACCCAGCGTTTAATGATTGCACTTTATAATAGCTGTTAACACAGTTTTTTAAATTACTATGTTTTTGATTGGCCATGTTAATTAATTTGCAACAAGCTTTCTAATGTAGGAGTGATGTACTATATAATGCATACCAATACCCGCTTTCAGTTCTCTGTAATCATAGGCATATTTAGAAATACACTCCACTGAACTCCAGTGGTGCTTATTTCTGTGTGAGTATGTATAAGAGTGATATTGAAACGGACAGAATAGCATTCTCATTTTTCTCTGGCTGTTGAGTAAACATAGATGACAGAACGTCTTAATCCAAAAATGATTTTGGTTTTAGCGCATATTTTCTAAGAATCCTCTCTTACAACAATTATTAGCATTCTTGTTTTTCTATATTTCAGCAGAATAGCTGAAATAGCCAAACTCATTTAAAAAAAAACACTCCTATTTAAAACTATTAGAATTTGGAGCTTTGAAAATACTGATTTGCCAAAAAATTATCCTGAAAAGGTGAACAACTATTTTGCAATATAAGCTGACCAAACCAAGTAACATGGCAAAAACATTTTTTGAAGTGCCATATAGTCTTGAAGAAAATAGCTCTAGTTCAAAAGGGAACTTCAGAAGCAAGTTCTGAAACTATATGTAAATTCACATCATTAATGTCTGTGGTTAGAAAACAATAGAACTTCTGTGGCCAAGTTTCCTAGTTGATATGGTGAACTATGTTCTGTGCAAATTATTTTTGTCTCCAACCAAGGCATCATCATTAATATCCCCGGAAATGTTTATCCCATTAACACCCCACTAAGAATATAAACAGAAAGGTTTACCCTTTAGGAATCCCATGTGGCCAGTCGTGTGTCAAAATTTCTTATCATGTGTCTGTGATAGTTTTCTATGTTTGTGTGAATGTGCGTTTCTTTCATAAGACACTTAGCATTTTGGTGTCATGGTTTTTCAGTTCATATGCCAAGACCTTGGTTTGGAACATCCATTCATTTTATGTTTGATTTTTTTCCCCTCTTCTATGTGTAATAATTGAAAATCTAAAATTGTTTATATTTTTCTGCTCTTTATTTTTATTTTTTTACAGATCAAGGGATCAATATTTATAGAAAACCACCTATCTACAAACAGCATGGTAAACTTTATTCTTTCTGTCTTCAAAATGGGATAATCAAATTATTGAATACTTACATGAACAATAACATTCTTCTGCACTTATTGTATTACATACAATACTAATTGATTATTTTTAAAGTTAACATAATTTTCTTTTTTCTTTTCTTTCTCTCTGTTGAGGTAAATAAAATAGATTTAAATGATGTAGGTTACATAATATGCCTCTCTGTTTTAGCTTGTCATTTGCTATAACATATGTATTCCTTATGGTTATTTCTTTACACAGGACCCCCCTTTGAGATAAAAAAATGTATGTTGGTGTTCATTTCAATACTTCAAACTGGCTTTATATTTTTTTTTAAAAAAAATATAAGAGGCTGTTTTTAAACCAGTCCCAGAAACTGAAAATGCCTGATCTCCACAATAAAATCTGCGTAGCAGGCATTAGAGTTGACCTACAATGTGACCTACATTGACAATCAATGTAGGTCACATTGATTACAATCATTTAATAAGCTTTCTAACCACAGAACAAAACTTGGTCCAACAACTTGATCTCTATATTGATCTCTTGATTTTTGTATTTCTAGAAATGATTGTGGCCAATTAATATTAAGAAGGGACAATCGCAGCCTAAACCTTAAAATATCACAGGCTAATTCAGAAGCGTTTACTACTACATTTCCTTGCTGTTGGAGTTTTTATTGTTATATTTCTAAATCAGGAAATAACATTTTTGTTTAATTTAAATTTATTTTATTTTATTGCCACCCATTTCTGAAGGTTTTGACCCCAAAGACCACATTTGTTGCCAGTTTGGAAACATATGGAACAATTTTTTTAAAAAGACATAAGAATGACTTGTTGTGGTTCTCCTTTCTGAACACTCATCTCTTAACTTCACTTAGCTAAACAGATTATCTAAGAAAACAAACTAGTTCAAACATACCTTGAACTAGTTTCAGAGCCATTCCTCTGATTTGAGTGAGTGTACACACACACACACACACAGAGAGAGAGACACACAAATACCAATTGATATTGGTACATTTTTAAAGGTTTTCAGTTCCTCTTGACATGGGAAATTATATATATATATATTTAAAAAATAGGTTCCTCCTCTTCCTCTTCCTTTTCCTTTTCTTTCTCCTTTTCCAAAGATCATGACAGATTATTCATTATGGAAAGCAGTGTGGAAGGTATCTAATAAGATGCATTAGCTTTTGAAATAAAACCATTTTTGTTTAAAAAAAACCCCTGGCATTCGAATGCATTTTGTCCCTACTGTGTCTTGCTGTGCTTGACCTAATTTAAACTATAACTAATAAGAATCTCTCTAAGTTTAAGCCAAGCACCAAGTCATCTAAACTCCCAAAAGGCAGTGTATTTGTACATATGCCAAGTATAGGAATAGCTATATACAATAGAATATGCTTATATTCTATTGTATACAGAGAGTAATTCTTTAGAAAAAAGAATACATTTTTATTAGAAAAATCACATTTAAATAGAAAACCTAAAATACCTAATCCAGCTTTATTCTAAGTAAATGAAAGAAAGATGTAGCTTTCTGACCCTCAAGGAGCCTAGAATAATATCTATTCCATTACCAGAATTGTGTGTGTGTGTGTGTGTGTGAGAGAGAGAGAGAGAGAGAGAGAATAAAAGTGAGAGTCCTGAGAATATCAGTTTAATCAGTGGTATTTAAGCCTAAAAGGGAATGATCAATATAAAGTTTCCATAAATAAATATTCCATAAAAAGATTAAAGGCAAATCAAATTCCTAGAAAAAATAAAACTTTCAGAACATAGAATATAATAAGATTTGTTTGCTTGAGCAAAAATATTGATCGTTATGTTGCATTTAAATTACAGTGTTATATTATTTTAAAATTTTAACCCTGTCATTTCACTTTTTCTTAATATTATTTTTATTTCTTTATGATTTTATTGTGTCATCTCATCTCCTATTAACTTGTGAATATTTTACCACTGAATTCATCCATTTCAATATGTAAGTATTGTTTGAAATTGTGCCTTTGTAGTGTCAAACAATGAGCCAAGGTAGCTGTTTTTTATCCATTAGAACTAGGCTGGACAGAAGCTCTATGTGCATAGCATACATGAAACCTAGAATGGAAAGAATTAAAACATGCTGGCAATTCATCTTTCAAATTCATCATTTAGCACATCATGTCTGCAAAGAAATGGAAGTAGAAGTCTTGATGTCCCAGAAATCAAAATTTCAGAACAATCAGGAATCATGAATTTTGTTTCTCTTGCAATACCTCTTTTTTCTTTGTAGCCATTTCAATGAATATGCAAATAGTCAGCAACATGCACAATTGAAGCATAGTGGGGCTTTGAAGAGAAAATTCAGTGGAAAAAAAACTATTCACTAATGATACAACAACACTCCCACAATCTGTACAATAATGCTCAACTTAATTCATTTTTTGAATAACTCTTTTCACAGAAGGTGAAAAAAAAAGTCATAGAAGTCCAGCAGAGTTGCAGACACCATATTTTGAATTGATTGCTATGATTTTGCATGTTTTTAAAAGTCCATTTATTTAATTGTATCATTGAGTAAATCTGGCTTTTCCCATTGACTTTGCTTGTTGGAAGCCCCTCTGGGAAGATCACAAATGGTAATTGAAATGTGTGTGATTCTTGTGGACTAGATGACCTCCAACTTTTATTATTATTATTATTATTATTATTATTATTATTATTATTATTATTATTATTATTATTATTATTATTATTATTATTATTTCCTGGGATACTGCAAATATTTTTAAATACATGCAGTTGCTAAGTTCCCAAATTCTGATTATATTACTCTGGGGACACTGCAGTGGTTGTTAGTATAATGACCAGTTGTAAGTCACTTTTTCCAGTACTGTCATAACTTAACGGCCATTAAACAAGTTGAGCACTACCTGTATAGCAATAAGCTGACCTTACCACAATTGAGGTTATAGTGATAGTCACAGCCTAGCTTCATCTTTAGTGCATTGCTTCTAAATATTCCAACAGATTTTTAATAATGTATGTGTTGTTTGGATGAATCCTGATATGAAAGAAATTAAAATGAAAATACAGTAGGCAAATGCTAATATAAATTCTAAAAGTTCTCACTGAATGTTTACAGCAAAATAAATCATATTCGCTATCATTCAGTTATATATCTATAGTTCTGAACCTATCAGCAAATATTTATTAATTAGTCGATCAGAAAATGACCTAGAAAGGTTGAATGTACTGTATTTTCCCTACACACAGGAAAAATACTGTCATTGTCATTATTATGATTATAATACTAAAAAGTTGCTATGTAGAGCTTCCATTATTCCAGTAAACTTACATATTTCCAGCCATTAAAAAATTGCATACAGATCTAGCATTATATACATAATTGGACTGAAAATAGCCAATTTTCTCTACTGGACTCAGCTTAGGGATATCTACTTTTATGAATTTGTTGGAGATGCCAGCTCTACACACTGTAGATTTCCACTATTTTAAATGTGTCTTTACAGGTACTCCTCGACTTACAACCACAGCTGGAACTTCAATTGCTAAATGATGTGATCATTAAGTGAATCATCATGTGACCGAACCCAATTTTATGACCATTTGTACCCTGGTTGTTAAGTGAACCACTGTGGTCGTTATACAAATCACATGGTCATTACATGAATCACATCGTCGTTAAGTGAATCCAGTTTCTTCTATTGACTTTATTTCTTGGAAGCCAACTGGTCACAAATAGCAACCATTACAACTGTTGTATGTGCGAATTAGTTGTCAAGCGCCCATATCATGATCATGTGACCATGGAGATAATGCAGTGGTTGAAATTTCAAGAAGGGATGATCAATCACTTTCAGTGTCATCATAACATCAAACTTCTCTTACTTGAATAGTCAAAAGTTAAGGCCCACCTGTATTATTATACAGTAATGTGGTGGAAACTTCAGCTGAAGTATGGAGGGGAGGAAGGAGTTAAGACACTAGCTAGCCTGGAATTCCTGAAGCGGAGGAAGTGATGGAGAATTTATCTAGTTTTATAGTGAGTGCAGATAATCTGGCAAGATTCTTGTAAATAGGTGAGTGGTAATAAACATACTGCTCTGATCAGTGTCCCTATCAGTGCCTGACAAATAACTTTATTTTTAAAAGGGCAAATAGAGATGATTGAAATCACAACTGGGGAGACTTCCTCTATTTGATTAAGAGCTACATTCCCACATGGGTAATTTGTCAGGAACCTAATTCTGCCAGGGACTCCACTTTTTCCCTGTACTTATATGTTCCCTTATATGCCACCCTGCATGGCATTTTGAATGAGTAGTTTGTTTCTTCCAAAGAATATTTGATGTAAATGAATAAATATGGTCATGAATGAATGAGTGAATGAAACAAAACATGAGGGACAGGCTAGATGTATGGCTGAATTAGCTTTTGAATTACTGTTATGTACCTCATTTACATTGTGTAGGAGGGAATGAGGCTCAGTCCAGAAAAGAAATGCTCCCTTGGTTCTTGTGTTAATGCTTTATTTGTATGCACCATACAATTGAAATTCTCAGGAATGTCAAGATTTTACATATTACAGAAATTGGGACTTTATCTGTTACTAAAAGAGAATGTGAAAAATGTGATTGTAAGAGAATTTGGAATACAATAGTTCCATAGCATTAGTCTAGGCCATAACAAAGCAATTTAATTGGCTAGTTTTAAGTTCCCCTAATTACCATTTAGATGCAGCTGCTCTGGCAGCCCAGCACAAGCCTTTCGATGATATCATCAAGTCCTCCAAGTTCCCAGCAGCCCATGCTCCAGCACCCAACGAGATTCCAAAGATTGAGACAGAATACTGGCCAGGTCCTCCCTCTCTTGCGGCTGTAGGTATGAAACAAGTGATGTGGGTGAAAACCCATCACAGCTTCCTGCTATCAATAAGTACATTTAGGCTGCTATGAATGCTGCAAAGCTTCTCACGAGGGCATTGAACTTTTTTTTGCACTGAGTGCTTGACCTCTTAGCACAGTTATGCTAAGTATCTAATTAATATTGGGGTTGTGGGGGGAAGTGTCACAAACTTTATAGGATTTGATAGCATCAGAATTACCTGTGGGGATTTCAGTCCCTAAAGTCTACATCACAGAGGAGATGCTTCAAGAATCTTCTCACTATAAGTCCCTTTCTCTGGATGGCTTCCCCAGAATCTTTAAGGTTTTTTTTTTTTAAAAGATACTACCAAAGTGTGTGTAGTGTCCACTGGTTGCATCTGTTCATCAGAGTGAAGCAGCTAGGCCAGCTTACAAATGCATTATACCTTCTCATGCATTGTTCTGTTCATCTTCTGCTTTATTCATTCAAGCAAGCAATGATCAGCCGTGAGCTATGAATGCTGACATTGGACGACAGAGTTAAATGAATTCCTTAATCCACTTCATTGCCTTTAGAAAAGCAGCAGATATGCCAGTATTGAAGTATAAGCCCATGGCTAGTCCATCCCTCTTCTATTCTTTGAATGGGTGTATGGTGTCGACATTGCCACATGTTGAAACCAGACTCTTTTGGCTTGTTGTTGGATAGTAATAGCCTGTATAATATTTAAAGTAGCAAAGCTTATATGTCCCCACTGCATCATTTTTGTGCCTTAAAGTTCTTAACTTTATTTTCCAATCTGTGTTTCATTTCTCTATGTATTATTTTTAGACCCCATGTGTTCCATGACTCATTGTTTAAGTTTGTTCACTCAGAGTTGGGTCCTACCTGTACAGACTTAAAATGATACATGTTGAGATTGAGGAATTTGATATGAGGTTATTTTGATGGAGCAAATTCATTCTTTCTTCTGCTAGAATTAAATATCAACTTCATGGAAGAAAAAAATAACATTTAGTGATATTTTACTTTCATAGTATTTATTATAAATCTGAATATTTAAATATGGGTTAAGGCATATATGTTATTCCACAGCTGAGGACAAAATTATTAGATAGGGCTGATTTTTTTTTTCTTCTATTCAATTTTGTCCAATTCTTGGAGACTGCTTGGACTTGCAGTTTTCTTGGCAAGATTTTTGAGAAGTGGTTTGCCATTGCTTCCTTCCTAGGGCTGAGAGAAAATGACCGGCTCAAGGTCACCCATCGGCTTTATGCCTAAGGCAGAACTTGCAGTGTCCCAGTTTCTAGCCTGATGTCTTAATCACTACACCACACTGAATTTCATTACCATTTATTTACCTTAGTTAAAATGATAAAGGAACAAGACAGAGAGTAATATCAAGATAATAAAGGGTGATTAAAAATATCTGCAATGTGTAGCTTGCCATTATGTTTGTCTCAGGAATCAGATTTGGGATGTCATAAAAGCAAAGTATGTGCATAATTATTTAAATTACTATTTAAAAAAAAAAAAACCCAAAGATGATAAAAAGCCAATTGTGGAATCTTCTGCCTTTTATGTCACAATAATTTGATTGAGTTTGGAATTAGGTAGAATAACTTGAGAAGAGATCAATTGCTGCTCCTTGTCATATAGCAAATTATTTTGTATTGACCAACTTTGACCACAGTTCGGTATGTGAAGTCAGTACAGTTATTATAAAAGACTGAGATGGTCAAAATCATATATTGATTTTACTGTAACTAAAAGTAAGAGGAATTATATCAGCAATTAAGGATGTATAGTTCTCAAAAAGAAAAGGAATAGGTTACCCTATAACCTCTCAGAATAATTTAGCATTTGAAACCAAAGATATTTTAATTCCTAAAATATTTTTAACAAACTGTTAAAAATAAGGTTTTTAATAAACAAAGAAATAAAATATTGTGGGCCAAATTATGATTCTAATATTGGAAATACAGTATTTTCACCAGAGTAATAGCTGTGACAAAAATCTTTCTACAAGCCTGGCCTCCAAGATAAGACATTTTTCCTCAACACATTCCCCTTACTCAAAAAAATTGTCTATATTAATCAAAATGTTACTAATTATGTTGTATACTTTGTAAAATTCTTCATTACATAACATTATGCACTTAATCATCAAAATAGTTTTACGTACAAAAATCTATTATTTAATTCAGAGCCAGATTATCTTATTAAGACTGTTTTGAGATTGAATTGGTAGATTATTTAGGTATTTACTTAAGTATTTAGTTAATTTCTTCTACAATCAACTCAGAAAAATGTACTGGTTATTACCTAGACTGAAATAAGAGGTTCTTTTTACTGTGGCTTATGGAAGTAGGTTCTGATATGCGACGCCGGTCCACTGGCAGGGACGAAGACCTTGAAGAACTTCAGAGGCGCCGGCAGCTGCAGGAGGAACAGTTAATGAAGGTGGCTGTCATCTTAATGTATATTCTCCCTCTGTGCCAAAATCTGCATGATGGAATCTTTTTTACTAGCTTACTTTTTCCTCAAAATTCTCATTTGCAGCTAAACTCAGGCCTGGGGCAATTGATTCTAAAAGAAGAAATGGAAAAGGAAAAGTCGTTGCTTGCCAGCAGATGTTATGACTCTCCAGTTAATTCATGTAAGCAGCAAAATTAGAAAACCATAAAGGATTATGGGCCATGATGAACTAGGACTACAGTTCTCTACTGTATTCACATAGCTGACAGTTGAGCCAATTGACTTCAATGTAATTTAGTTTTTAATAGATCTGTATAGAGTTGTACTATAAAAAGTTGATATTATGGCTGGTTCTCATCTAATTATTGCAGTTCTGTTTCTGATAATGCAAAACATGACCTCTAAATAATAACAAGGAAGTAGCTTTTTCTCTGATGTGTTTACTGTCTACATTATAACTCTAGTTATTTCTCACAAAGTATGTTTTTAAATGAAGAAAGATTCCAAATGGATATTTCTCAGCATCTACTGAACAAATCCAGAAAAAGAAATGCCTATAAAAGAACTGTGTTCCTTTTAAGTTACAATTACATGAAAACTTCTTGCTTTGATAATCTCTGATGAAAAGCTTTTATTGATTCAAATTATAAGATAAAATCCTTCCAGTATTAACTATATATTTGCCACCAATCAGAAGCTATTTTTTCCTGCATCTCATATGGATGTTTTGAAGAACATGCACCAAAGTTTCTCCATGTTTGTGAGATGGCTATAGTTAGGGAATTGTTACAGGGAATTGCATAGCTAATCATTGCAGACATTGCGTATGGTAACATATGTACTCCACAACAGCTTTAGGAAGACTGATTTTGTATTTATATGATATATAGAAGAAGTTTACTACCTCTTTATATAAAATAAATATTAGACAGTCCAAGCATCTCATTTTAAAATGAGCATCTAGTTTAGAGAAAAAAGACTATGCCACACTCTTATAATGTGGCCATCTTTATGAGAGGATTGCTTTCATGCAACTTATATGGGTATCTATAAAAAGCCAGTAAGTAATTCATAAAGAATGATTAAGAAAGCAACATTTGACTTGTTGATTCTCATAGTCTTTTAGATTAAGAAAGGAAATCAGACTCAATGAGTAAGGCAATGCATTCAAAATACATTGATGATAGCAATATCATCAAACAGGTCTTTGGGGTAAATTGAGATTTCCAAGGAGAAAGCAAAGATACAATTACTGTTTGCTTATAGGAATTTTGTATATGAGATGCATGCTTACATGCATATATTTTCCTTATACTTTTTGAGCTTTTCATTTGCTTTCCAGAACTCTAAAATATATTTTAAATATATAAACTTGTACTAGGAGACCTAGGGCCACGATAGTAACAGAACTAAAGGAGGACAAGGATGATTATAGCTTTCATTCTATCTGTCTGCATCAAATCACTTACTTCCAGGCAACAGTCATAAAAATGATTCACTTCTGGGTACACAAAGACAAATGTGTCTTTGTGTATGATTACAGAGAGCAGCCTATTCAGCCTAATCTGAGACATAAATTTAGTAGATTGCTTTAAACAAGTTATTTTTTTTAACCTCAGACTCTGCCTCCGATTTTCCTCATATGGAAACAATAGTAAACCCGACTTGTAAATAACTACTGACAGAAAACAGCATTTTGCTTATTTAGTGTGTGCAAGAAAATAAATTAGTGGAAGAAAGTATGTTTTAAGCAATCTGAATCAAAGACTCAGAATTGTGTTAAACCATGACCATAAAACATGACTAGCAAGAAATTGTTGCTAGGTAATATGTAGAGTGACTTGTAGTCAGTTAAAATCCATCTTAGTCTGTAAAATTAGACAGGAATTGAAAATTTCATATCTAAATTTCACTTACTGGACAAAATCAAGATAAAATGATTGCCTAAAAACTTCATATAGGCACAAATTTATACTTTCAAAAATTTTAATTCTAAGAGGCTGTGTATTTTTATTTCCTAATAATTATTGTTTCCTTCTTCTCACTTAGCTTTACACGCGGCTGCTTCTAAAACTTCTTCACTGCCTGGGTATGGACGAAATGGACTTCACAGGGTGAGCAGACAATTCTTTCAGTATGAGAAAGTACACTTTAAATTTCAATTTCTGTTGAGCTTCTAATGACCAAATAACTGAAACCATTTTATGTTGAATAACACTAAAACTATAGTTGAATGAAGTTCTTTAGGATACATATGTTAAAAATACAATTTAAAACAAAAATGGTGAAAATAATATAATTCAGAAATGTTAAAAATAGAATAAAAAATAAAATTAGAAGAACAAAATAGAAACATTATATCAACAGTGCAAAATTCTTACTTAGCCTTCACGATAGTTCTACCTGTATTTCTTCCAGTCTGCCATATTTCCGCTTCAGACTGTACTTTTAGGCTTCTTAAGTGTGTTGGGAAGGAAAGGGCAGTTACTAAGGCCACTTCACCTGGGAGGGGGCTTAATCAAATGGATCTATGTAAGTCCAGAATGTTCAGATAATAGAAGTCAGATAGGAAACCCAAGAATGATAATTAAATGTTAAATAACTTTTTTTAAACTGTTAGTGGATTTTATCATAAATATTATTTATCTATGGAAACTATGTGATAATTAATTTCTGCATATCTGTCACTAGTGTCTATATTAAGCTGGTACAAGATATTCTGGCGCCATAGGCAGAAATACAACAAATTTAAAAATGTTCCTCTCAACGAAAGGTGTGGTGATAAATTATTGATAAAAATCAACATTTTAAAGGTCATAATCTATTGTTTTAGACTAAAGATTTCTGTTCTTTCTCACCCTTAGTATATATATTTCATATAGCTTTATAGGCATAGAGTACAACAACATTCCTCCTGTACCACTGTCAGTTTTATATGCACTTTTTATGAATGTCATGGATATTCCCAGATAAAAGGCAGTTTGGTCTAATGCAGTGGTGGCAAACCTATGGCACGCGTGCCAGAGATGGCACTCAGAGCCCTCTTTGTGGGCATGCACGCCATGCCCCAGAGATGGCAACCATCCCTCTTCAACCAGCAACCTGCTAACTCACCGAGGTCCTACAAGGCCAGATGTATCCCAACACCCATGCGCTCGCTGGTCTCTGTGTGCAGGGGCCGATGGTGTCAGGCAGCAACCACCCTGGCCCTGCCTCACCTTGCCCTGTGACAATGGCACTCCTGCCTTGTCTTGCCTCGCCTCACCTCCCAGGATAAGCCTCCTGCCCACCACCCCACCCTGGATCTCCCTCCACAGGCATCCGTCCCCACAAGCAACATCGAGGTGATCATGCCCACCTTGGTCACACCCATCCAATCTGCCATGACCACGACAGCCATGCCCACCCAGCGGATCACGCCCACCTGGCACCCGGCAATAAATAAGTGGGTTTTGGGTTGCAGTTTGGGCACTTGGTCTCTAAAAGGTTCGCCATCACTGGTCTAGTGATTAAGGCATTAAGCTAGAAATCAGGAGACTGAGTTCTAGTTCTGCCTTAGCAATGAAAACTATCTGGGTGACTTTGGATTAATCAACTCTGTCAGCCCAACCCATCTCACAGGATTGTTGTGGGAAAAACAGGAGAAGGAAGGAGTATTGGTTGTTTGCGACCTTGAGTTATTTATAAAAATAATAAAGAGGGGAGGAAAAAAATAAATAAATATAAATGAGTGTATTATTGATATGTTTGTTGTGCTTATCTTTTTATTGTTATTCAATGTACAGATAATGTGAGTTACCTGTTCATTTTTTATATATATATATAAACAGCCGATGTCGACAGACTTTGGTCAGTACAACAGTTATGGGGATGTGAGCAGTACAATTCGAGGTAAGTTTGTAAAGGAAATAGAGTGTGAGGTTTGGGCTCTAGGTGGTTTTTTTAGTTATTTTCAGCACTTATGCTTTCTGTTGTGTTTTTATAGTAATTCATAAGGTCATCTCTCACATAAAGCTTTTAGATACCATACTTAATCTTGAAATATAGGTACACTTGCCATTTGTTGAAAAAAAGGGTGGAAGAGATGGTTCAACACTATATTGAAGAGGATGTTGTAAAAATGAAATTAAAATTTAATGAAGGCAGAAAATATATGTATTTTGGGTTGATAATTTTTAGGAAAGACTCTGAGCTTAAAACTTTTGTTCAGAATGTATCTTATCCTAATTATGTGTCTTCTCTCCATATATCCCTTTTCAGATTACCAGGTTGGTAACGATTTTCATCCATCAAGTAACAGAAACCAATTCATCAACCGTGCACCAACTATGTTATTCATATCTTAGAGAAATTTCTTGAAACTTGTTAATTTGCTTGTTTTATTATTAATAATATAAACATGACACTATGGGAAAAAGTGTTTTACTGTCAGTTTTGTGATTTTTTTATAGCAAACATTTCTAAGATTGTCAAAGAAGCAATCAGTGACAGTTCTCTCATTGATTGATTTCTCCTGACCACTTTGGTACTATCCAAAGAAAGTGCAAATATAATTCTGCTTATTCCATAGTTATACCTTTGCTCTTCTTCTCCCGATAATTTCCTGTCTTGTTTATATTTTATTGTGATCATGGAATAAAAAACTGATAATGTATTTTATACAAAACAGGCACATGGGCTGTATAAAATGGCCAATTAAAAATGTAGTGTTATTTCTTAAACACAACCCTTCTCTTTATATGTTTGAATATTACTGTTATGGAAATGTCTATACATTAGTTACAGAAAATACTTTATTGATGTAGAAAGAATTAAAAAAATTATTTGTTAAAAAGGATTAAATGCTTTAGTACAACTGAAAAGCAACCAAATATTGTAAAGATAATAGCTAGAACTAAAACAACGAATCATTCTGTGGGACATTCCTGATTCCCTGAATAATGATGTATGAATACTCTAGATAAGCAGAAGCTACTAAATTTTTAAAGAAGTTAGGCCCTAAATATAGAATGTTTAATATTTTTAAAACTGATCCAGTAGTTTGTGTTTCTTATGACCCAAAAGTTTTCTCATTTTGTCAATCGGTCTTTGGGAAGAGTCCCTCGGAAGCTTCATAACTGAAAGAGAGGAGCATGAACAAAGGCTATTTAAATTAGGAGCCACATCTATAAGTATAGTATATATTGGGCATAATTATATTTATTATACATATTTCTTTGGAACCTTAGCATAAATTAAGGTGCATACTTAGCATGAATACCTTTACTTTATTTGTGTGGGTTTGTAAATAAGGATGTAATCTATGTGTTTGATACCCACCTGCTTCTGATACAGTTTCACCCAGATGGTCATGTCCCTGCAATGCGAATGGACCGAGGAGTTTCTATGCCTAACATGTTGGAACGAAAGGCAAGTGCTAATTTTATTCATTGTGCTTCTCAACAATGAAGGGTAATTTTTTTTTTTTGAATGATAGATGCAATTTAAAATGTTGTGTATCCACTTTTTAATTTGTTTATTTATATACCAGTGCTCTCTTTTCCGGGACAGTAGGACATCCCCTTTATTTGAAGTGAGAACATAGGATAAGAGATTTAATATATAGGAAACTAGATGGCAGTATTCTAGGTAGACTTAAAACAAATAGACCTTAACAATCATGGGAAATCAGCTAGCCACACTAGTAACCTAACAGCATTAATTGCAATAAATCAGCAGAGTGCAGCAGGGATGAATTCATTCATTTGTGTGCACAAAATAAAATGGAAATCAAAGCAGATGTTCTGATTGCGATCCCATTGTATACATTTTTATTCAGAAGTAAATTCTAGTAATTCAATGAGACTTATTCCCAGAATCGCATGATTCAAAATAGGATATCCAAAGCAATCCAAAGTGTATGTGCAGGAAAGGGTTTTACGTGAAAGGCCGTTTTCAAAACTAGACTAATTAAGATTGTACATTTTCTTTTCCTTATAACTCTGAAAGAAGAATAATTTCTTCTATACAGCTCATTATTTTTGATGTAGTATAGAAAAGAGGAAGGAGGCTGTTTGAGGATGCGAAGAGGAACAGGTTTGAACTGAGATATATACCGTGAGAAAGAACCACTTCCCTTACTCTCTCTCCCCCTCACCACACAAAACCAGAGTGACATAAATAAAAAAGCAGATACAGATATATAGAGAGATAAATAGATATTCATGGCCATAAACCAACGTTCTTTAGCCACAGTGTTTTTCAGACAGTCTTTCTGGAAACTTTTTTTTGTTATTCATTGGTTAAGAGTCACTCATACAGATGTCAGGTTAGTTCTTAAGAAATATGCTCAGGATGTACAGTGTCCTGGTCATTATAGTTTTAACACACGCAGCCCTAACTTGGGATTGTAGAGACATAGTCATGGGAAAATTAAGGCAATATGAGGCTGCAATGTATATATGCTTATCTCTGAGTATATTTAGTTGAAATCTTCAGAGACTACATATACAAGTTTTCCATTGTCACAATGAGTTCACCCATCATCTGACTTCAAACAAATAAGCCAAATCCAATCGCATTCTGGTTTGGCACAATATGTGAATGCAGCCTTATAGAGGCTTGTTTATATATTCCTGATTTTTAGTCTCTAGTATTTATTTTATTAAAACTCAAGGTTCCTGCACAAGATGCTTGCACTATCACATATAACTAGCTTAATAGGGTGGTGGTGTGGTGACTAAATGGGTATGTAGGAAAGTAACTTTTAGCTTAACTTAAAAAGAGAACTGAACAGGACAAATATAAGCAAAGGAATGGCCACTGAATTAACTTTTTAACAGTTTGCTTGTGAGTCCATACGCTAAGAAGACAAAGGCAAATCAGTAGTGATCTGTAAAAGAAAGAAGATAGTAAGCACTATCTATGAGCTCATCAAGGAGAGAGAGGGAGAGAGAGAGAGAGAGAGAGAGAGAGAGAGAGAGAGCGCATGGGGACATCTTTATAATTATGAGACTTCATTTTTCAGTAATAAATATTCCAAGGAAGCATACAAAAGACTGCATTTTGTGTACTCATACTTAAAACAGCCATGTAATGAACTTGCAGCTGTCTTTTGACAATGACCACATTATGCTTGCGAATTTAATGTCTATTTGTGTCATTTAATAAATTCTACATAAAGGCCTCTTCTATACTGTTAACAGATATTTCCTTATGAAGTACTCATGGTGACCAACAGAGGGCGAAATAAAATCCTAAGAGAAGTGGATAGAACCAGGTTGGAGGTAAGAACTAAGTGTCTAGTTTGGCATTAAAAGAAAGTTTTGTAAGGATATGGATTGCTCATTATTCATAACCTTACAAGATACTGCATTAATCCGAACTAACTGCTTCATCCATACAAAACTAATTAATACATCAATCCATGCATGCCTGCTCAGAAATAAGCTTTACTGAGTTGAGTGATCCTTTCTAAAGTAAATGTGTATAGAATCGGAACTGAAATAAGCTTCATTATTTATACACAAGTGACATTCCATGAATAAGCAGCATGTCTTTAATATCAGGACCTTGAAACCTGAACTTAGATTCATTGACTGCATTAAGCAACCATGGCATAAAAATCAATTCAGCAAGCTAGATTGTGTTAAAGCATAAAACCACAGCTTACAGTGCAAGTCAGCTTCTTTATAAAAGCATGCAGTTATTGAATCAGAAACTAGGTATGAATCTATGATTTATGATATAATTCTGACTGATTCAATAATTCTTGTCCCAGCTAAAATTTTCAAAACTAATAGAGCATGACCAAATTGTAAGAGTAACCATACGTATTATAGTGTACAGCCACATTTTTCCTCAAGGTTATACTCTAGTTGTAAAACTGTTTTCAATCATATGATATAATGATGTTACCAGAGTATGTAAGGGTCCAATTTTTTAGTCCCCTCCACCATCAGTCTATTGCAGACATGTCAAACTGCTGGCTCATGGGCCGGATGCATCACGCCAAAACCACGCCCATCCCATTTCTGGCAATGGGGAAAAAGTCGCGATACATCGTGCAGCGTCATGTGACGTTGCAAGTTTGACGTGCCTGATTTCATGTATCAGATTTAAGCCAGCTGATTTTGGTATCTGTTCTGGGAGAAATATTAATGGGATTGCAAGCTGCATACCTCCTGGCCTATAGAAATACTTCACCTTTCATGTCCATAATAGGGATCAGCTGAAGATGTATGACTATAAGATATGTATCTTTTTTAAGACAAATATGCAAACATATCCCTAGAAATAAAAACTGATCAATTGATACATTTAATCAAACTCCATCTATACTTGAAATGTTTCAGTTTAAGTTTCACTCTTTGCCATTGATGGAGGAAAATACAAGGTCTTGATACATGTGAAAGCCCTTGCGTGTACAGCTCCATATGCTAGATTTTCTTTATGCCAGCTGTCACTACAGCAACATTGGCAGGCTGCTCATATATTGAGTTTTCAGACACTGAACATCTCAACAGGATTGTAGTCTCAACACCTCTGGAGGGCACTTGGTAGAGAAAGGCAACTTGAACTAGAGATTTGCTCAGTCTCTAAATTATTTGCTGACTTATCTACTGCAATATTTGACTATCGTTCCTATTGGCTAGAGGTTATGGGTTGCATCTTATTACTTAAAATTCCTGAAGAGTTAAAAAAAGGGGGGGGGTTATTCTACTCTTGGATGCTTTGGCATTCAAAAAAAAAAAAAATCCAAAAAGGCCACCTGGTGCTATAGGACATTGGCCTTTATCCACTGCTCAGGACTTTATATTAGACGTGGTACATTAGATCTAATACATTGAGGGTAATACTGTGATATCTAGATTGCCTGTTTCTACTACTTGAATGATGATGTACTTCTGCCTTGTCTTTCTTTAGCGTCATTTAGCACCTGAGGTTTTTCAAGAAATATTTGGCATGACGATACAGGAATTTGATAAGTTACCTCTCTGGAGACGCAACGATATGAAGAAGAAAGCTAAACTCTTCTGAATTCTTCTTTCTCGGGAGAGGGAAGATATCATGTAATAGGATAATGTATTATAATCGAGTCCAAACCCTTTTTGGAGAGCAAATGCTGAAGAAGGTGGGAAGGAGAGAAGGGACAATCTGAGAAAGGCATATACTAATGCCTTGAGATTGTGCAGTAGCCTGTCAAGCTTGCCATTGGCAGAGACATGAAAGGTTCTTTGTTCAAATCTCAGTCATGGTTTTCACTCATGAAGTTTTTATATGGCATATATATTCAGTCTTATGCCTTCCTCATTTTCCCTTGACTTTTATTCAAAGGTCGAGGATGCTAATTGAGAAGACCCAGGAAGTGCCCGTAGGATGCACAGCTCACAATTTTGTGGCATGGACTTTCCAAGCAATGAATGAATATATTCTATAGTTAAGGAAGGAGTCTTGTGTAATATATTTATCCTCTGGGCACAGCTATTACAGTTAATTGGCCTTATTGTCAAACAGCTTATTCTTTCCGCAGTACTCATCAATAAAATAGGCTGCTGAACAGAGGTATTCTACTGTGCTGCATACTGGCCATTTTTTTTTGAGAACAAGCTCCCAGCTTGCACATGCACATATCTAGTAGTAAATTGCCATGTTTTGTTGTCTTTTCCTGCATTAACTGAATATAGTTTTTTTGCTTTAAACCACTTGGTTGAAAATTAACAAGAAGAGCAAGCACGTAAACCAAATATCAGTTTCTTGGTTTAATTATGAAGGAGTTATTTCAACTGTCATGTTAAATGTAAGCCATAGTGTCATGCAATCTTAGATTTAATTTAGATGTGACTTTTGCTGTGTGAAAATCACTGTGACATAGTGTGGTCATGCATTGCTTGATTGTGCTTGAAAAGAAGCACTGTGTGGGCCAATATATTGATGTTGTTCCTTTTCATGTTAAAGTAAACAATATTAATCATGTTGGTCCAGGAAAAAAAAAAGGACTGTACTAGGGCAATATCTTATTGTGATCAACCAAAAGGCACACAGTCATGTTTAAACTCTGAGGCTCTCCAGTTTTCCTTTCATAAAGTTGTAGGATCTGATATAGGATCATCTTTCATAGGATTTAGTATAGATGTCCTAGAAAGCCTTATTGTGGAACTGAAGATTGAAAAGTGTTTTGTGAGAACAACTAATGCCAAGCAAGTCAAAAGATTGGACACTTTCAAAGTTCTCTACATAGCCTGTACCAGGATTGGAACAGCATTTTTCATACACTAATACCATCCCGCTGCAAAGGTTACATTTGAATTTTTAAACATGTCTACTGGAATTGTGAATTCTGAAATTTTATTATTATATTTTAACTATTATACAGAGTGATTTTGCTGCTACAAGTGACCGTTCAAGCTATTTTCTTGTATGCACTGATAATATTGCACAATATGTCATGTTAAACAATGTTTAATTTGATTTTCTTCATGTAATCACTCATTATTCATATAAGAAGACTTGAATTTTGTGTTATTTTACTATACACAGTTGCAAATAGGTTTTTTTTCTTTTTATTTACTATCAGTGCCTGGAAAAAATACTTTTATCTTGGGCAATTTCTCAATCAAATGAACTGCTCAACTACATGTAGCCCTTTTTTTTAGAGGATATTCTGTGACCTGGCTTCTTGTCTACCTAAGTTGCTTGGTAGATTGTGTATTTTCCATAAAGGACACATAAAATTTACTTTGATAGAATCAGAAGCCATTTTTGGCTGACAATAGGGTGCAGTGATACATTAATTTTTTACCTGAGTGATGACTGCCACTATATAAATTTTTACTTTTTCTCTTTTAATGTGCATTTCTGCTTACAGTGTAATCCTGTATGTGTACATAACAATAGTTTATACTAATCTAGAAGTAAAAATTCACTAAATTAAATGAAGCTTGCCATCTAGTAAGTCTGTGTAGTGTAGATGAGGAACCTGTTGGCCTCCAGATGTTGCAAGACCCCAACTCCTGCTTTCCATACCATTACTAATTGGGGGGGGCAACACTTGGTAATGTTATTCAGCAACATCTGCAAGGCTACAGATCCCTTGTCTCTTCCCCTGTTTAGATAGCAATTCTTATTGTAAGGTTTATGTAGGGAGGACTTGTAATATGTTTTGCTCTTACATTTAAGAGCTAAGCATAAGTGGATTCCAGTGACATATCTGAATTCACAACAGACCTGGTTTGCGAAAATCCAGAGGATCAGTATGTGGGAGCAAAGAGAGATGAGTTTTATTTGTGGCCATTTAGTGATTTTTGCAGCCTGATATAAAATGATAAAAGAGGATTTTCAGCATATCAGTACAGATGGTTTAGAATATTGTGTGGCAGAATTCATGTAAAATGTTAACTCCATCAAATGCTGAATATCCTGTCATTATAATTAGGTGTGATGGGATGTTCAATGGCAACTCAGAGCTTTCCCAGGAGACACCCAAATCAAGAGAGTGTGCAATCCCGAGCTGGGTGGAGAAGAGGGGGAAGAGATTCAGGGTAGCCACACCCCAAAATCTCTCAGGATGTATCTGGTACCTTAGAAAGTTACCAGTTTGGCAAGATTCTGTCGATTAGATGTAAGCAAATAAAGGATTGGATATGATTGGATGTCACTGTCCCATCACTGGGCTTGGGCCTGACAATAGGAGAAGGAGTGGCACGACCATACTAATATCATTGTTTGTGGGAATTTATCACCTGGCCAAGAATAATTTTTCTTTAGCCTGCTTCATAGGTTCCTGCAACTGATGTCCTCCAATATCCTACCCTGGGATTAGGGGTTCCTGGCTTAATATTCAAGAAATTAAAATCCAAAATAGTTGAAGGGCACTGTTGGGGAATAGTGAGAGAAGGATACCTGATAATTACAAGATTAAATATACTACGACAGGAGGGAAGGGGCAGTCACGCCACATGACAGTGTTCATCTTTCTAATTCTATTATCTCAGGCAATATTATTAATTAAAACAAATTGTAGCAGGAGTCAGAAGGCTCAAGGAAACCTTAAAAGTGACAATGTGTAGTTGTGTTTGATTTCTGTAATTTTCTGTAATTATGTATTCGCTGGCCTATTAAACTAGCTATAATTTAGCCAACAGGACAATTTGATGAGTGATTTACAAAGGAATGTGCTATTTATCAGAGAAATGGACCCTTTGCCCCCAAAGCAAATTCTGGACGGGTAGCCAATCAGTTGAAGAGGGCCATCTGAGCTGCCTCTTTCCTGGACATACTATTATAGCTTCAATGGCACATCAATGGCTTCTCTGATTAGGCATCCTTTTTTCTTTTTTGTCCTTGGTTCAGTGCTTTTATACAATGAGCTCTGGACAGACATTTGTATCTGGAGCACAAAAAGGATTAAAGCAGCGTCTCCTGATTGCAGTTCATTAAATTAGCCAACATCCATCCATAACTGTGCTTCCTCTTTTTTTTTTTTTTTATTCAGGATGTTTATATCTTGAAAATTAGAATAGTTGCTTCCCATCCCCTCACGAAATGAAATGTTCACTGCCTTTTATTCTTCAATTGAATTTCCTAAGCTGAGAAGTAAAAAGTGTAACCTACAACACGGCTGCTATTTGAAATCATTCCCTGTATGCTTCAAATTGACTGGGAAGCCAATCATTTATTGGTTCCAACTGCAAAGCCCAGTGTTCCCTCCCCATTCTTGATTAGCCAATCAATTTTGACTCAACAAAACCTGAATTCTATATTCCACACATATTATTCCAAGAGCAATGATAGTTTTACTTTTTAGAAAGTAAAATATTCCTTGTAAATAGACATTCTCCTTTAAGATAAATGGCTAGTTAAGACATCATTCCAATGTTTTGCAAACTCTCTTATATCCTGAAACAAAAATTGGGGGGGGGGTTACTATAAAAATGCAGATGAATTCATAATTGGACAATTAGTTTATCTCTGACCAGAAAAATGTATGATCACAAATGAAGACTTACAGTTCCTAGCATTATTCATCAGTAGGTTGGCTCTTCTGATGCAAAACGACATTGTAATTGGGTTTCTACAATTTCAGGATGAAAATGAATGTTACGCATGTTCCACTATTATTTGCTGAGATGTAAGCATGACATACTTTTGTAATAAAGCTTTGAAATTATGGACAGATCAATTTTTTGAAAATGTGTTAATGGTAATCCTCGACTCACAACATAATTGAGCCCAAAATTTCTGTTATTAAGCAAGACATTTGTTAAATGAGTTTTGCCGGGACACTGCAACCATCATAAATATGAACTAGTTTTGATCACATGGGGATGCTGCAATGGTCATAAGTGTGAAAAACAATCATAAGTCACTTTTTTTCAGTGCCATTGTAACTTTGAACAGTCACTAAATCAACTGCTGTAAGTCGAGGATCACCTATATTTATTTTGTGAGGAAGTACAATTTATTTTAGAGACTACTTCCCAATTATACTAATTTTATAAAAGAAGAGTTAAAAGGGTCTTACTAAAAATATAAAGGGCCAGAAAACCAGCAAACATATTTAATGTGGTGCTAAAATGGAACTGATTAGAAAGATTGAGTTTTTTCCCCTCTATTGTTTTAAAATGACTTGAAGTGCTATTGTACAAATAATTCAATTACCTAACTACCTACTTACCACTATCACCATCCCCAACCCTATATGTAACGAAAAAGACATTTAAGCCCAAATTTTAAGATTTTTTTAAAAACACTGATTCAATTGTATTCTAATGGGAAGAGTAATACCAAAGCTGTGGTGAAGTAGATGGACTTCATTGTAGTGATGTACAAATTCACCACCACTATTTGATAAGTTATTGCACACAGCAAAAGTACATCTCTTGACAATGCAAGTTAATGTCAAACAAAAGATGAATAAGCAACACATGGCTATTGCAGAATGCAGATTGTCATCCCGGAAGACTTGTGATGTGTATTGTTCAATTACATTGGTAGAGCTGGGTGGGAAAATTCAAAAACTATGTGAGAAGAAAATTATCTCCAGAAGGATATTTTATTGGTGCTTATCTACATTGTATGATGCACATTCTTTTATTGTACATTTCTTCTGCATTTTTAATGCAATCTACTAAAAAGGGTTATTTTGGTTTCATCCTTTTTCATGTTACAATTCAATCTTCCCACTTTGAATCAAAAATATAGTATGAAGAAATTGTCACGCGCTAAATTGCTTCCCAAAACAGAGCTGTTAAAAGAATGTCTTTCTTGGTTTGGATAAACAGTGATAGCTCTCCATGATAGTCAAAGCAAGCTTAATTCCAAATATAAAGTCATGAAACATAAAAAAAGGATCTTTAAGATATTTTCTTCAGCGTGCAGAATGATTTCTACAAGGAAGAAAGAGATATTCTTGAGATATTCATCCATATGTAAAAATACTGCAATGATCCAACATGATCTTTGTTTCCCAAAGGGTTCTATCTAAAACCATTAAACAAGTTTTGCTGTAAGCCTTAGATTTGGATGTAAAAGCTATACATCCAAATCTAAGGCTATCAGATTTGGGATTCAAGGATCTGGTAAACCACGAGTTGAATAAAGTATTGAAAAATATTTTTATTGTTATCAACAATTATTAGCCCTATGAACTCTGTTTTTTCAAGAATTAAGTGCTAGTTTGCACACTAAATTTGCATACCAACTTCTGACCCCAAATCAAGGCCAGTTGAATCAGTTACTAAGGTTGAATATTAGGCTATTTCTCAGCCACCTAGAGAAGAACCTGCTTATTCGACTATACTGTGTATTGTTAATAGTGTTTGCTATAAAGTAGTTTAAATTACTGACAATGGTTATAGTGATGAAGCCATATTTCTGATTTTTAGGAACATGACTCTAATTATATTTTGCTTAAAATCTCAAGGTTTAAATTTATCCATTCTTCCCATAATCAGCCAATTTTCAGAACTGAGAAAAAGCCTTTTTCAGAATTTCCCTTTTTCCCAGTCTCTCCCCCTTTTTATTGTTGTTATAGAATAGCTCTGATTAAGAGCCTTTGTTGAAAGAGAAAGCCAACAATGCCTGTCCATAGAATTAAATCTGCTTGTTTGCAAAATGGCCACTGTTGCTATTCATGCTGTTTGCAAATGTCACCCTAATGCCACTATAATCTACATCGCTGTTGTACTCATACCAAGTAGATGAATAAAGTTTTAAACTTTATTCTTACCCTATTGTTTGGAGATTTGTTTTTCTTTATTCACTAGTGTTAATACAGTGAAAATGGGTTTGGTTATGCCTGATAACAAAACTTGTCATAAACACACTGTTTGCAAAACAGAGGATATGTTGGGAACAATTATTGACAAAATTTTACACAATTTGAAGATCTTGTGGTATTTTCTAAAATGATCCTTGGGGAAACGCTCAAAATAAGGTTAGCATTTCTTTGGCCACAATCTTTTTAAATTATTGAATAATTAGTACTGTGACTAATAAATAACAGACACATGGTTTTGAGATCTCAACCTTAATTTCAGGGTAGCATTATTGCATAGGCCAACAGTTCTCTTATGTCCTAGAATTAACATAGCATGATTTGTAAGAGTTGTGCACAATTATAAAGTTTTTGCAAAGTTTATGGATTGAGAATGTAAAATTCATTAGTTGTGTACAGCCTCTCATTCAACGCAGAGGAGTGCAAATTTGTAGGTACTGTATTAATCGAAAGCTAAAATTAGAGCAGGATGTGGTTAGTAGAGTAAGTAGTAGACAACTGATAAGAGCTGCATCACAGCAAGTTACAACATATTATAGAGCTGTGGGAGAAGATAACACAAAATGGAAGAGATCAGGTTCAACAACAGAAAAGATTGAAATAAAACAATGTTAGAATAATTATTAAGTCAGCTGTATGATTATAAAAAAGACAAAAGAGACTGCATCAACAGCAGTTTGTCAAATCATTGAAAAATTCTATTCTGCACTGGATAGATCCTATGTCAATTATTATGTCCATTCTGGGTAGACTGGTTTAATTAACTCAGAAAAGACAACGAGGACAACAAGGAAAGTAAAAGGTTCTTGAAAACAATTGATGGTATTGGGAATATTTTGGATAGAGACCAGCACTCTTCAAGTATCTGGTAGTCACATGACAGAGGCATAATCTGTTCTATCCAAAGCTCAGAAAAATGAATGTATGTGATAGAAGACACATTTTTATTATGTAATAGAATTCTTAAAAAAGTGTGTTGAAATTTTTTAAGACCCACCCCTTTAAACACATTCAACAATCCTATTTATTTTAGTGTTACTTTGATCTGCATTTTAAAGTTTCTATTTTCTGTTTTTGTCCTTTAAACACATTTAGCTGCCTTACTTATTCCCCAGAATTGAAAGATGTGATGTAAATCAAATAAAAATGAATAAGCCAACCACTGCACCAGCTGAAGGGAATCACAATCATCATAGGCAGATATCCAGCTGAGAATTTTACAATCTTTATCCTGGTCAACAGACCTTTTTTGGGTTGTTTAATGAACAGATATTTGAATGTATCAGTCGATATATATATGAAAGTGTCAGGCCAAAAGCCAAATTTATTTCATATTTGAGAAGCCAAGATGTGACATTGGTCATTTAGCCAGCCATCTTGATGTTTGCTATGCACGTTGACCCTAGCAAATGATTCATCATCATTATTCTTCATACTTAAAGCCTTTTCTTCTCAGATAATGAAAAAAATAAGTTCCAAATTTTAGAAGTCTGGCTTTCCTGCTTCCTGATACAGAAATAATGTGAGTTTCTGACCTCTGAGTAATGATTGAGGAATGTATTACATCTCCCAACACAGCAGGGCAGCTGGTAAAGTGAATCTTCACAGCATGTTAAAAATACAGATAATGATGCCAAAATCCAGATCTGATTGAAACATAGTCAAATGTCAACACTAATTTACTGCTAAATACATATGGTTCCCTGGGATTACTTTAAGTACAGAGTTATGCACTATGTTTTTTTTTTTTTACCAACACAGCAAACTTCCTCCCCTCATTTTTCCCCTCCCTCTCCATTTCATGTTTAGTTTCCTTTGCTTGAGCTTCTATAAGGCTGGGGGGGGAATCTAGTTCAAAGTTTTCTGTGGTGGAAGGGCCTCAGGAACATGTACAGACTCTGTTCCGAGGCTTGAATGAAGAAGAAAAGGTCATTGTTCCAGGTCACGCCCCTTCCATAGCTGTCCTTTTATGGATTGTGCCTTTTATACTTACAGCCCCAGAGAGTCTAGAACAATCCATAGTTTTGATGAAGCTCTGAGCTGCTGTTTCTTTTAACAGATTAGTGAGATCAGGACTCTAGGAATCTCTAAAAAATGCATCATTGTGAGATATCCAACTATGAATGTAAGAAAAATAACAACAGCTATGGAATGAATATGAAAATAAGTAAATTGTACAGTATCTTTCTTTTGCAACTGAAAACCCCTGAGAAAAGTAGCATTTTGTTTAAGGGATTGTGGACTGATGCTACCAAAGTGATGCTCTTGTGCTCAGAAACTTTTTTTTTCCTTTAAAGCTGAAGTGCTGCACAGCCTTACTGCTTGCTGAAGATGTTATGCAAATAATTAGGAAATGAATATTTCAAATGCATGCAGTGAACATTACAAAAACTATGCATTTCTTTAAAACAACCATGTTTCTCTTCGTAGAGGTTCTTTAGCAATTTTGTAATGAGGCCACAAGCCACATCCAGTGTTAGGCTCACACATTAGCATATTTATTCTGAAAGAATGACAATATTATTTTAAAACTTTCTTAGTCTTTTTTATTATTTCCTTTTGCAAAACGTTAAGACTGCAGCTTTTCATTTAATTATTCAAAGAATTTAGTGGTCCTTCTGTCTTATCTCTATCTCTAGACTTCCTGGACTGATTTTCTTGAGGGAATATGTAAAAATCTTTCCTTTGTTTCTTCTATCAGTTGTTGATACCAACCAAAATGATATCAAAATTAGGATAGCTGCATAGTGAAGTCATCAATTAAATGCTGAAGTTATATAGTTGGGTTATATATGTGTGACAATACAATAAGTTGTGATGTTTGCATGATAATGTAATCATACACATTTCATCAATAACCCTTCTACTAGTTCCACTGCCCAAGTTCTGTCTACTAAAAAAAAAATTTGAATGAGCAAATTCCTCAGATAGCAGCTTGGTTTGCTTCAGAGCTCTTCCTGATTGAATCCAAAAATATCCCACAACTTCTAAACAATATTTAAATAACAGAGAGATGCCCTGGATTTGCCCAAGTCTGGATCTGAAGGCCAAATGAAAAAAAAGAGCATTGGATTCAGTGATTAATGGTACTTGTCCTCAAAGTAGAGTGATTCTTGAAATTCTCAGGATGCCTCTTAAGAGATGAAAATATCCTGAAGGTTGAGAGAGATCATATTATGTCTAAAAAGAAAAAAATAAAATCTAAAAAATACTGTAATTTCTACAAAACTACCATACTGTAGCTCTCCTTTTCTCCTTAAAAGCAGGAGTGCCACATTATAACCATTTATGCTTTTTTTCCATACTCCCTTATAAGAGGACAAAAGTGATTTGACTTTTTTTGCTAAAGTTATGAGCACTGACTATGATTGAAGCATTTTCATAACAACTAGATCAAATCAGTTCTCTCCATTAGGCCTCTGAACTGGATTACTTAGTTTTAGCACGTCCAATATATAAATGAAAAGAAGCATAACCCCCTAAAGAAGGAGGCCATGAGAGGATTCTCTTTTTCCTTGTACCAAAGGTGCTTTTTCCAAAAGGCAACTAATTTTTTTTCTTTGAAAACGTTTTGCTTCTCATCCAAGAAGCTTCTTCAGTACAGTTCTTCCTTTTTCCTTTTGTTACTAGCCCTATCTGGAATTTCAGATTAAATTATAACTCTTCCTCGGCTGATTGTCAAGTCTCTAAAACACGGGTGTCAAACTCGCCACATCATGTGATGTGTCACGACGTATCACAACTCTTTTTGCATTGCCGGCAATGGGGTTGGGAGTGGCTTTGGTATGGGCCGGCAGTTTGACACCCCTCTCTAAAACAATTAAACATGCTGAAACCAATATTGTATTGGGAGAGCGAATTAAAAAAAAGACAATGACTTCAATCACACAGTTGTGACAGTTTTCACTCACATACAGACACACAGAGACACTCATGATAGTCCTGGTTGATTTGAATCACAAAATTAAAATATTCCAGGAGGTGTTTGGTCAAACAATTATTTTTCAATAATGCTTGTAAAAATCCTACATAAAGTTATAATTGTGTTTTTCCAGTCATCTACCTTATCATTTCACAATAAATTTCAGTTTCTTCTTCCCCATTGGAAATTCCCTCTTCTTTGGAGCATCCATTTATATTCTTTCATTCCTCATGGCAGGGTTCATAAAGATAGATTAGGTACTTTCGAACCCAATATGGAATACAGTGTATGTTTTTAGTTGTTGCATATTTTGACGAGATGGCCTCAGTTTAATTTCTCTGAAAGAAGAAAATGGAAATATATTACCATAAGAGGGACAGAATATAATCTATTTCCAACAATTAATTATTTCCACACACATACAGTACTGTTGAATGTTGCATTTGTGATAGAAGACCTTTGATTCTACCTATTAATTGATGGTATGGTACACATATTCACTTTGCCTGCATATTTGTATATCAAACATTCAGAAAATGTTATTTTCCCTTCATATGCAGCTATGATTTGAAAGAGTTAGGGAATTTTTGACTTTGGAACTAGGGAAAAACAAGACCTAAACATTAACATTTTAGATTATTTCAGAAAAAGACTCATGCTTCTGTGAAATCATTATTCTGTATGATCTAATAGTAATTTATGTAATATTGTGAGTTATGGTCTTAAACCCATAACAGTGACAGTGAAACCTATCACTAGAAGTGTCAGTGATAAAAAGTCCATTATAAAAAGTAAAGGCCCATCTCTTCCAACCAGTTCAGTCCATAGAGAGATATTATCCAAATGGCTCAACATGGCAAGGAACAAATTCTATCACCAATTCAATATGGGATCTTGTTTTCTTCATGTGTCCATTGACGTTCTTCATACCTCACTTCTTTTTATTGTTTTCAAACTAAGCACCACTTATCCCATGGGAAACTAAGAGAAGATCTTATATCTTACCAGGGTAGCCTTACCTTGATGTAAAATTTTGGAGAACAATATGCCAATGAGGAAAGTTAAGTCATCTGACATGATGAGTTTCAAATAATATTAAGGGATTAAAAAAATGCTTTGCGAAATCCTTAAATATGAGAGATGGGATAAGCAAACATGAGTCTGTGTGGAAAAATAACACAGAGTATTTTGAGACTTTCTAAATGGAAAGTTAAATTCATTTTAGATTTTATGGAATATGATCTCAAACTCTATAAGTTGTTTTAAAAACTATCTTACTGGTGCGGGCTCAGTCGCAGCCATGAGAATACAATAGTTATAAAATATTGGAAGGATATTCACCTGATCTGTAACATGGCATTTTTAATATGTGCTCTTCATATTTGTTTGAATGATCTCTGTTTCATCAGAGATTCAAGAAATAAGATTTTCAAAAAATAATTTCCCTTAAATCATGTTCTTATTATATATTTCCATATAAAATGGAGACAAGGTATGCTCAATATATTAAGAACCAAATACTAACACTTCTGTTCTGGAAGTCATTAACTGTGGAGAAAATGTTCTAAATCACTTAGTATACTGACTCTCAATTTGATTTACTCTAAGTTGAATCTTTATGTCAAGAATAACAATAGTTTAGCTTTTCTCTAATAGTGATAGCCACTATCACCTAAATACTAACAGCTCATAGCTGAAATCAGTATAAATTTACTACTATAAATCTACTATTATAAATCTACTAAATATACTACAGTATAAATCTACTACTATAAAACTATCTAAACCTAGATAGTTCAGAATACTAACAAATTTTGATTTTAAAAAATTGCCTATGATCTCATATTCTCATATCAATTTAAGCAGTAACACTGTCATTTATTTTTCTTACTAATATAATAATGTTTTATGTATTACATGTAAAGAAACCATTGCCCTTCCCTGGGGCTTCCAAAAAGCCACTATTTTAGTCATAATATGTGCTTCTAATTTCTTGCAATTTAAATTTCAGTTAAAAAAATTCAGCCAGTGGGAATATTCTCTTTGTTAGCTTTAACCTGTAGATCATCCCACTGGATAACCGTCTGCCAATTCTTTTTGTAGTAATTGAAAGTTTCACTGAAAGAGCAAAGGCTTAATTTGCATTTCAAACTAAAGAGGTTAATATGAAAATTATCATCCTTAGCAAATTTACTGTTAAGTTAATAAAGATTAATACTGTATAGTACATTTTCAAGATACTCCACTTTGTCTGAAAAATATTTGCTTATATTTCATATTCTTGAACTATCACCACATGATTGAAAAACTTGATCTTCCAGACTCTAAATATCACATAAGGAGCAAAACCAGTATGATTGTCTTTCTCATTTTGTGTGGTGATTCCTATTACAACGGTTACATTTGTATTCTACTTTTTCTGTGAGCTAAATTTTCCGAGAGTTGCCCCACGGGATGAGTGACTAGCTGGACCCACTTCACAATATTTTACATTACTCTGTACATGCTCAGATGGCGCTGGTAGAAGAGAGCAATGCTAAATGGTCCAGTAAAAAGAGGCAGGCATCAAGTCAATAAATGTGTACAAAAGTTTGATTTTCCTTCTTTAAAATACTAATTCCAGATGTTCCTTGATATCTGTTTGGTGACAGCAGCTGAAGATCTGAAATATATTGATGATATCCAGTCAGTTTCTCTGCATTAGGTAATAATGGTGAGGCTGGACGGATACTGAAATCATCTTCTTGACTAGGTAATAATGATCTGACTGAGAATTAATAAATGAAGGTCCATATTGGCTCTTGGACTCTAAGTGAGGCTAAAGAGTGTAGGTTCATTCTAGGAAATGAAAATTGGGGATAGGGGCTCAAACACCAAAGTGGTTGGAGCAAGGAATAACTGAAGGACAGCCAAATTACAGTGACCTGATGACTGTCTGAGTCAACTTCCTTTGATGCAATGTGTTTGAAGATGGTTTTCAACCTCACTTAATACTGGATATATCTGATAAAATGGTGCCTACTCCTATGGTTCTACCTAATCTCTTAGTGGCATAGTATCTATGGTATCCTTCTGGAGTGTTTATCAGAATTAGAGGCCAGAGGCCTAGTTTGGCAGAGGTTTCCCTACTTCCTTCAGGTTCACTCAGTGGGAGGAGGAGCAGGAGAACAAGATCTCTTAGACATTCCATAGTGAGGTGACTCCAGCCTTGGTGCCCTCCCCCATTCTTTTTAAACACCTACAATAAATACACTGCTGGGAGATAATCTATCAGTTTTGAGTATCGTTAGCATCAGCATGGTAATGATACCCAGTTCTGTATCTCTACCTCAGGCCAAGCAGGAGATAGGACCCGGTGCCTGGAGGGACTGTACATGACAAAAGGCCAAATTTTAGCTTGCTGTTTGTTCAGAAGCCCTCTTGCTCCTGGCTACTTCTGTCCTTGGCTGTGGAAAGCCTTGCACTCCTACTAAGGAGACAGCGTAGAAACTAGGATTATCCTGGTGTAAATGGCTGCAACTGGAACAACTGCCAGGGCTGTAGCCAGGATTCAAGTTCAAATTCTATTGCATCTTTTTCTAAAGTGGGAGGCCTCATGTTTGAACTACTCTGAGATGCTCTGAGTGGATATATCCTTAAAGGTCATCAAGAAGCTGTGGAAGAAATGACAAGACGCTTCTTTTCACTGGATTAAGACAGGTGGAAGCTGAACTCCCAATAGGTGAGGTTCAGGACAAGTCTGTGTTTTCTTCCATGAGAAATGGATATTCGGCTGTCTTCACACTGAAGGAGCAGATCAGCCCCCTGTCATTGTGGAAATGAAAAAGTGCAACTGTCTGCCAACTCTCCAACCTTGACAGATTTCCCTATTAATTTTCCATTTTTCCAGAATAGCGCAACCATTATTAATCCAAGGATTTTGCCACTGATCAAAAAATGTTGTACTGCCGTATAGTAGACTACAAAAATCCAGATGGCACAAAATGGCAGCAGATATAGCAGAAAGCCTTAAATTTTTATTGCCCTCCAGTGATCTTCTGAACGTGATTATCCAAATGTGGTGGCTCTCAGGGGTAGACAACCTTGGCTCTTTTATGAGTCATGAACTTCAACTCCCAGAATTCCTGAGCCAGCTAAGCTGGCTCAGGAATTCTGGGACTTGAAGTCCACAAGTCATAAAAGAGCCAAGGTTGACTACCTAGTTCAGTGATGGCGAACCTTTTAGAGACCAAGTGCCCAAACTGCAACCCAAAACCCACTTATGTACTGTTGGGTGCCGGGTGGGTGTGGCCCATTGGATGGGCGTGGTTGCAGTGGTAACAGCAGACTGAGTGGGACTAAAAAGTTCAATCAATCAATTCCAACTTTCCAAGATCTTTTTTTTTTCCCTCGAGAAGTTGAAATTGACTGATTGATTGAATCTTTTTTTTTGTACAGGCAGTGGAGGCCTAAAACGAAAAGGTTTTATAAAACCCAGCTGAAGGCCTAGGACTGCGGCAACGGTGCATGTGCCCACAGACAGGGCTCTGAGTGCTGCCTCTGCCACCCTGTTCACACCACTGACCTAGTTATTCCAAAAATGTCTTACTGGTGTGGGGGGGAAAGTTGAAAGAAAGAACAAGCGAAAGACAATAGACAAATCACGTCCCCTGATCAATGCCCTGCGTCCTGAAAGCCAAGGTCCACCCACTCAAAAACGTGTTCGGGAAGCACCTGAGATACCCAGAGGATTGAGCTGATTTTCTTAGGAGTTTCTCAGGGGGCATTGCGAGGAAGAAAATCAAGTCACCTTGTCTTCCAACTACTTTTTTTTTTAACTTGTCCGCCCGGCTGACAAGCTTGCATTCATTTGCAGGGGCTCGCAAGACATGGAAGCTGGTTGGGGGGGGACGACGACGCAAACGCACCCTTCTGCCACCGCTCCCTTCCCACGCCGCCATCCAGCCAGCCAGCCGCTCGTCGGTCCCTGTAGGTCCGACAGTTCTGACCTCATCGGAAGGGCGGAGCTAGGAAGCGGCAAGGCAGCCCGAGAGGTTTTACCCGAGAGAGAGTTAAGGAAAAGAATCCGCAAGCTGGGCGAAAGAGGAGGCGCGTCCCGCTGGGAGAAATCGGTCCGGAGTTTGGAGAGCGTGGGAGAAATCCGGGCCCTCCACTCTAGAAAAGATTCTTCTATTCCGCCTCGCGGCAATAACAGACGAGAGACCCAGGATGGATAGATATAAAGGTAAGGGAAGTGCGTCTCTTTTGCTTTTCTCCTGAGCGTGGGAAAGAGCTGGAAGGCTCGGCGCTTCCCTGGGAGGCTGCTCGTTTTCCCACCGTGGGTGTTCTGCCTTCGATGAAATGCTTTCTGGGAACCCCTCGGAGCGCCGCTTCTGGCCCGGACCCAATCTAATCCTCCCTTGAGCGGCTGCTTTGAAGCGGTTTCGGAGAGCAAGTGAAGGTTTCTTGGGAGCTGCGATTGGACAAGAGGCGACGCCGGTGGGTTTGTGCGTGGAGAGTGGCGAAAGAAATGATCGGAGTGCAGGGTGTCGCGTTGTGCACGGCCGGCTGGCAAGCGAGATTATTCGCGGTCTCTATTCCAGAATTGGTCCGAGGAAGGGAGGAATCTGTATTTAGACGCCGGGGGGGGGGACAATAATGGGACTAAGAAGCAATAAAGTGCTTGAAACTATACACCTTGGAAGGAAGGCAGAGATGTGGCTGCGCGGGTGCTCGCATCTGCTCTTGGCGGTGACTCACCTGGTCCACCAAGAGCACCTGAAAGCTGAACCCGGGCCGGGCAGGAAGCGGGCGAGACTTTCAAACCGTGCGTCCCAACAGAGCGAGGGAGGGGGAGGGAGGGGGAGGGGAAGAGAGAGAGAGAGAGAGAGAGAGAGAGAGAGAGAGAGAGATCAAAGACTCCGCTACAGCTACTTCATGACCGTGCGTCCCAACAGAGCGAGGGAGGGGAGAGAGAGAGAGAGAGAGAGAATGAGAGAGAGAGAGAGAGAGAGAGAGAGAGAGAGAGAGAGAGAGAGAGAGAGAGAGAGAGAGAATCAAAGACTCCGTTACAGCTACTTCATGACCTGAGAAAGCAACCGAAAAAGAAGTTGGGAACTTTCTGCGTTTCGCGCGACTATGCTGAGCAGTTGGGGGTGGAAGGCAGCGATATTTGGAGCTTAGTTTCTAAAAGGAGATCCGCCTGAACTCCCGGTGGTGAGGATAAATGCATTCTGAACATTCTCAGGAGTCGATGTTTGCTATCATTGCTAATCAAATAATGATAATAGTGATGCTGTAAACAGGGAACTGCTATGTCATTTTATGCTAATACAGTATGTTATTTGCAATTTGGGTTGTTTTATTTTGTTTTACTTGTTAGCCACCTGGGTCACAAAGGCCGTAGACCTTTATTAAATAAACAAGTGCTGGAGTGTAATAAAGCAAATCCTGGTATTGGACTCCCCAATTTGTGTCTGTGTCTGTGTATGGTGTATGACCATGAATGAAAGTGAATGTGTACCAGTAAAAAGGCATCTGAGCTGTCTAGCCCAGTGGGCTATCCTTGCCCCTCTATGGCAGCCACACCCATTATTGGCACCCTGCCCCCAGCATTGACTGAAGTCATTTGACCTAAGTAGATTCTCTACCTCTATTTTGCACACTATTTTTTCTGAAATTAAACTTAAGAAAATGCAGACTATCTTTGACATTTTGCAAAAAGACAAAAAAAAAATTGGGAGATGGGGAGCTGTTCCCAGTGAAACTTTCTTCTCTGGAAAGAAAAACTTTGTAAGATTATTTTTATATCACTGGAAATATGCTAAAAATGCACTTTTTCAGCATTCATTGTTGTGCTTGAATATAGATACAAACACATACACATACAAACACACCTGCCTACATATCTGCCCACTAGCAGGTTGTAGGACCAGATTTCAGAATGATCTGGCAATGCCAGTACACATCAGGACCTGAAAATCTCGCTTTCTGCATTTATAGCATGAGAAGAAAGTTACTTGAAAACCTTCAGCGCTCTAATCTTAGCTTGCTTTCCTGTGTTTCTTCTTCCAAGACAGATAATCAGTCAGCCCATCCAAGGAGTAATTTAGGTGGAACCTGAACGTATAATTCAAGAAAATCTCCCACATTCTGAAACTAGTTCCTGCAAGTACTGTGGGATGTATGGTGCAATTCATTTCTCATTTATCTCTTATTTACCTCATTTACATACTGTGAGTGTGAGTCCCTTTTTCAATGTCATTGAAACTTTACTGTTGCCAAACAAATGGTTGTAAGTCAAGGACTATCTGTAATCTCCAATGCTGCAAAACATTACCAGTGGAGCATTAACACGATGGGAAAGATCCATCATGCTGCGAAAGGAAGCTGCCCTGACAAGCTGTGGGTTAAAAGAAATTGTGGTCCAGCTGTCACTCTCTTGGTCTGGAATTTCTGCTTCATTCATACATATACTCTCCTGAGTAGACTGCAGTTCCCCAGGTTTAAGGCTGTCTCCCAAAGGACATATTAAGAGTAGCCACTGTAGCCATGTTAGCAATGCATTGCATTGTGCATCCCTCAGAAGATAGGTTGCCAGCTGTAGGTGAGAAGTTGTGTTGGCTTCTTCTGTAAAAGGCATGCCAGAGAAGGCATGCACAGAAAGAGGCAAGCACTGGTAGGGATTCATAGCAGTGCTTGAGAGAGAGGCAAATCTCAAATGTCAAAGTGGGGTGCGTGTGAAAATCCTTTTGCCTTGAAGTTATAAGACTAGTGCAGCCGAATATCTTAAGGATGGCACTGACATTCTGCTTTGAAACAGAACTTTTGCTTTCGCAGCCCCTGACAAAATAGAAACACTTTTTTCTTCTCATTTGTATAAGTTCCGCAGGAACAGAACTTTCTTCATCTGAAGTGTGATCACTTCCTGGCTAGTTTATGGATTTTCTGGGAAGCGTACTGTCGACTATGCCAACACAAAATAGTGTGTTTTATTTATTAATTTAATAATCCACTACTCGGGCTTTGTTTTCTTCCTAGTAGCTTTCAGCATCCTTTAAAGGCTGGAATTGGGTCCTCAACCTAAAAGCTGGAATTTGGTTCTTAGCCTTTTTTCTGTTTAATAAGTTGCTTATTATTTTAATATTTTATGAAAGAGAACTTATGAGAATCATGCTGCAGCCTTTTTAAAATTCTGTTTTCTGGCATTGTTCAAAAGGTTCACATTCTTTTGCTGAGAAATCTTACCAGTTTCTGAGACTTATTGATTGATTGATTGATTCATTCATTCATTCATTCATTCATTCATTCATAAATATGCAAACTCTATCTTGTGAGTACATAAGATTGCAATATTAATTTCTGATCTGTCATGTTTACCTTAATAAATATTTATGAATTTAATTTTTTAAAATATAGTAATTAATACATAATTGCCTGATAATTTTCAACACTGTTGCGAGCAAACCTTGTTGGACTTGTTTGCAGGGAGGTAATCTTGCAGGGATGGCTGGACATTTTAGCTGCTATTTTGGTGTGTAGCTATTTTAATTAGATTGTGATGAATTTTTCAAAATGTTTGTGTTTTAATGTATTATTATGCAGCCTTGCCGCTATCGAGATGGAGCATGCTGTGAACTCAAATTAGGACATAATATCAAGCTGTTTGGAGGCTGATGTAATTCTCCGGCTGCACCGAGTAGCCTTAGAATTATTCCCATGGATGCATTAGAATTCTTCCTGCAATTTTCTCAGAATAACCTGTGCTTTGAGGCTGAATTCTCACATGTTTCTGGTTGGTCCCTTTCTATACACATCTACCAAAACGTGCTGCTTTTCAGAATATTCCTGGGGCAATCTGAGAGGTGCCCTGAGTTTATTCAATAGCTGAAAATAGGAATACCTGCTGGATAGGAATACACTTGAAGATTGCTGGATAAGCTATCTGCTTCTTGGTTGTGTACTGAGATATTGTCATTGATGTGCCACTGACAAGTCTCACATTTGAATGTACAAATGCTTCTTGTTCTTAATACTGTTAATGTGCAACCCCAATATTTTAAATAATGACATAGGGCCTTTTTAGTATGCCACCTGAATTTGGAAATCATAATTATTTTGTCAGTTAAAAATGTATTTTTCAGAAAGAATGACACAAGAAAAAAGGAGAAATTATTGCAACTTTATATTGATTCTACCATCATTCAAAACAACTGTTCAATATTTGGCTAAACATATGAAAATAGGAAAAGTATTGACTTGATTTGATAGGTCCCAGTCCTTTTGTAAAGAAATGGGCTGAACATAAGAAGCTGCATGCAAGGAATTCATGTAGAAACTTGTATCCTAAATATATAATTAGAACAATTAAAATTAATGGCACTCATTACCTTTTTCCAGGGCAAAGGATAGAATGGACTGGCTAAACTGCAGATGGTTATTATCAAAGCTGACAGTGCTATCTATTAAGAGATACATCTGCCAAACCGAAACCAACGTAGTTGCTGTATACAGCTGCAAGTGCTGAATACAAAATTATTAACTGCAGACAACACCTTTTCTGTATGGAGAAGTATTGCAGGTTTTACTTGCTACATAGAAATGTTCAGATTGAAATGAATGAACAATTAATCACAGCATATAGATGCTTTGTGAGCATTTGTCCAGGAAAATTATTGCTTGCTATACAGTGTTGAATTCTGTGTATATAATAAATAAATGAAGTAGCTTGTAGCCAATTTTGTGATACAAACAAAAGGATTGTTATTGACTAGGCAAACCGTAGGTGGGATGTGTGTCCTTCCTAGATGTTACTGGACCACACTTTCCAATTGCCTTAACCAGCATGAGAGAGATAATGAAACATGTAATTCAAACATTCGGAAGGCCACAGATTCCCCATTCATGTTTTAAAGTATTATCTTTTCAGGATATCAAGACTAGAAAATCTAAGAACTTGAGCATCAGTTTGCTTCTAAATCAGCCATTGTGGGTATAATTCTGTTCCTAGAAACTGGATGTTGTTGCATCTTATTTAAATCTCCATATTGTTTTACATTTTATATTGCTTACATATCCTTCTTATTAGAATTCTCTGATTTCACTGTAGAATATTACTTGATATATATTGATTATATATCAATATAATGCTATGGGTGAATTGCAGGACTTCAAAATTTTAGATGCGTCCTTGATTATTTTGTGGGTTGAAAATAAGTACATGTGAGTTAAGGGGAAAGGGGAAGA